TGAAGCTTCATCTCACATATTTAAGGGAGTTTATCAGGAAGCACCAGTCCTTGAAAGATGATATGCTTCCAAAAGTAGAGAATCAGAAGGCTGCATAGTGGAGTGGACTTGGGGAGAGGGATTGTATAACAATGAAAGAATTTTTCTTTTACTTTTCAAAGAATGAATTGGGGGGAAGGTATAATAATGAAAGAACGGAAATCCAAAGTCTCTGTAAACTTTCATTAAAATTAATTAATAAAAAAAAGTATCAGCAAAAGAGAGGAATCTTCTCACTGAGATGGAATGACACAGTAGGCTTGATCATTGCAGAGACTGAAGGATGGTGTAGGACAGGGCTGCTGTGAGTCACAGCCACGTAATAGTTCATAACAATAATAAATAATAGTATTATTATCACAAAACCAAAATTTTCTTATTGATATACAGATATTGATCTCCCATCTGGAAAAACTGCTGAAATGCCACTCATTAGTTTCAATAATTTATGTAATATTTACTTTGACTTTTGCTTTTGAATCATTAACAAATATTACTGAAAGCTGTTCAACATTTATTTCTCCAATTTCTTAGTGTGGTGAGTTACATATATAAATCTTTTAAACTTGTAGAATATTTTTGCTTTCCTAACATAAATTCAATTTGATAGTGAGGTATTATTTTAGACATGTACTGTTAGACCTAGGATTCCTAATATTTTTGCCTATTTGACTTCTAATTTCCTTTCTTATAATACTGCCCCCGCTTGATTTTAGCCTCAAGCTTATTTTAAGCCTCACAAAATTAGAGGAAGACTTTCCTGGGAGAATCTGATATTGGATCTGGTGCATCCCGTGAATATTTGGTGATGTGCCCTGGTGGTATACTGGGTTAACTATTAAGCAGCTCGATTTCACCAACAGTTGCAGAGCACATGAGGCTGTCTGCTTCTGTTAAGATTTACAGACTTGCAAACCTGCTGAAGGGTTACCATGACCCTTTGGCTTGATTTTAGGATAGCTGATAAAGCTTGCTGCCAAAGAGTCTCTGTAAATGTGTGAGCTTTTTGGTTTCTTAGGGTTCTTTGTTGTTTTGTAAGGTTAGTTTTCACTAATTCTATCATTTGAAATTCTTTGGAGGTTTTCAACTTCTTTTCTAATAATCTGTAATAAAATTATCTTTCAAGAGTATCATGCATTGTACATTTTAAAAACCAAAGCAAAAAACTTTGCAAAGGATTTTCCTCTAACTGGTCAGTCACTACTGTGTGAGGTCAAGGAGGTTGTCACAGGGTGGGTTTTGTTATTTTCTCTATATAGTTCATTTTTTCCTCTGGAAGCAATCTTCTCAGAGACTTATCTGTTATTATTATTATTTATTATTAAAATCTTTTCAAATAATCCACTTTGGCTCCACTGGTGAATGTCATTTTTCACCAGTGGATGTCATTTTTCACTTTTCCTTTGATCTGGCTAATCTATTATTTTCTACCTTCTGTTTTGTGTTTTCTATTGTTATTCTAACATCTTAGGTAAGATTTTTGACTTATTGACTCTCAGCCTTTCTTTCCATTAACATTAACATTTAAAGCTATAAATTTCCTTCAAAAGATTCCTCTTTACATCTGGATAAGGTTTTTTCCCACCCTCAGGAAAAGCCTGAAGGCAGTCTCCCACTACCACAAATTATGCAATCAAGTTTCCCACATTTGGGGAAATAGCAGAGGTCAGCACATCCAGACTGCAAAGGTTAAGCCTTGCCCTGGGAAAGCCACCTCTGTGATCACTGTTATCTCTCCCCTGCCCCCACAAAATTTTGATGTACATTTTCATTATTATTCAGTTCTACCTATTTGAAAGTTGCATATTCTTTCTTCGATTCAGAAGTTACTGAGCATGTATGCGTGGATTGTTGTTGTTATGTGCCAACGAGTCGCTTGTGACTCTTCGTAACCCTATGCACAACAGCCCTAAATTCTGCTCTGTCCTGTGCTAATCACACCATCTCCAATACACCCATTCTGATTACCCCAGTCACTGAATCAATCCACCTCATAGAGGGCCTTCCTCTCCTGCACTGTCCCTCCACCCTACCAAGCATGATGCCCCTCTCCAAGGAC